TGATAGTGATGATGATGCTAGTGATGATGCTAGTGGATGATGATGCTAGTGATGATGCTAGTGATGATGCTAGTGATGATGCTAGTGATGATGATGCTAGTGATGGTGGTGATGATGCTAGTGGTGATGATGGTGATGATGCTAGTGATGATGCTAGTGATGATGCTGATGATGATGCTGGTGATGGTGATGATGATGGTGATGATGATGGTGATGATGATGGTGGATGATAGTGATGATGATGATGCTAGTGATGGTGTGATGCTGGTGATGATGCTAGTGATGATGATGCTAGTGATGATGGTGATTGTGATGGTAATTATGATGAGAGTGATTGTGGTAGTAGTGATGATGCTAGAGATGAGAGTGATGATGATCCTAGTAATTATGATGATGATGATGGTGATTATGTTAGCAATTTTGATGATGATGGTAGTGATGGTTGTAATTATGATAATGATGATGGTGATAGTCGTGATGGTTGTGTTGTAAATAACAGATGAATAAACTCCTTTTAAGTCACAAACTGGTTCATTGTCTTTCTTCCGACACAGTCCCTACACACACACGGAGGAATTTCGATTTAAAGCTTCTTTCGTGACTGCAGGGATTCATCTTCTTGGTTCTTTCGGTAAAGCCGTCACGTAGAATGGAAGTAATAAAATAATAAAAATAAAACATAATAAAATACAATTCTCACGACGTTTCGGCCACAACGCAAGCAGCCGTCCTCAGGTGAAGAACAGGTCTGTCGGAAAGACAGCGTCTGAATGTCTTTCCGACAGACCTGTTCTCCACCTGAGGACGGCTGCTTGCGTTGTGGCCGAAACGTCGTGAGAATTATTTTATTTTGTTTTATTTTTATTATTTTATTATTTCCCTTCTACGTGACTTTATCGAAAGAACCAAGAAGACACGGAGGGATATCCAGTTCCCTCACCTGTAGCCTAAGGAGGTACAGCCTCCGTACCTGGTGGGCCCTCTACACGACTGGCTGCTAGCCTAGGAAGGTACAGCCTCCAAACCAGAGGTCGCAAACGGGTTTTGATTCCTTACCCGTACCCGGCCGTACCCTACCCGTACCCGTACCCTACCTGTACCCTACCCGTACCCGCACCCTACCCGTACCCGGCCGTACCCTACCCGTACCCTACCCGTACCCTACCCGTACCCGCACCCTACCCGTACCCTACCCGTATCCTACCCGTACCCTACCCGTACCCGCACCCTACCCGTACCCGGCCGTACCCTACCCGTACCCTACCCGTACCCTACCCGTACCCGCACCCTACCCGTACCCTACCCGTATCCTACCCGTACCCTACCCGTACCCGCACCCTACCCGTACCCGGCCGTACCCTACCCGTACCCTACCCGTACCCTACCCGTACCCTACCCGTACCCGCACCCTACCCGTACCCTACCCGTATCCTACCCGTACCCTACCCGTACCCGCACCCTACCCGTACCCGGCCGTACCCTACCCGTACCCTACCCGTACCCGTACCCTACCCGTACCCGGCCGGGTAGGGTACGGGTATCGGGTACCCGATTGCGACCTCTGGGATGAAGCCACGTTGCAGACGCGGGTGGGTTGATTCTAGGAACTTGAATTGTGAGAAGAGACAAGACGTTGGGAAATGAGTGACAATCACGGTGACTCACCAGTGACTCACGGCCTACCCTTACCCGTACCCGGCCGCACCAGGGTCGCTAACGGGTACCCGTACCCTACCCGTACCCTACCCGATACCCGTACCCTACCCGATACCCGGCTACCCGTACCCGGCCGGGTACGGCTACCCGTTTGCGACCCTGGTGCGGCCGGGTACGGGTAGGCCGTGAGTCACTGGTCAGTAACTGTTTGTCACTCAATTCCCAACGTCTTGTCTCTTCTCACAATTCAAGTTCCTAGAATCAACCCACTCGCGCCTGCAACATGGCTTCATCCCAGAGGTCGCAATCGGGTACCCGATACCCGTACCCAGCTGGGTACAGGTAGGGTACGGGTACGGGTAGGGTACGGGTAGGGTACGGCCGGGTACGGGTACCCGTTTGCGACCCTGGTGCGGCTGGGTACGGGTAAGGAATCAAAACCCGTTTGCGACCTCTGGCTTGACCCCATCGCTGATTCGGTGGTTTAAGTTCATGTATTAGGTATAGCCCTGATGACGTCATCACTCCCCTGTGGGGACGTCGGCGTGCGCAATGACGTCATCACTCCCCTGTGGGGACGTCGGCGTGCGTGATGACGTCACCAGACTGGATTTCCCGAGGCTTCGGCGTGCGTGATGACGTCACCAGAATGGATTCCCTGTGTCGTCGGCGTGCGTGATGACGTCACCAAACGATCCCCTGAGGCCTCGGCGTGCGTGATGACGTCACCAAACGAACCCCTGAGGCTTCGGCGTGCGTGATGACGTCACCTGACTGGATTCCCTGAGGCGTCGGCGTGCGTGATGACGTCACCAAACAAACCCCTGAGGCTTCGGCGTGCGTGATGACGTCACCTGACTGGATTCCCTGAGGCGTCGGCGTGCGTGATGACGTCACCAAACAAACCCCTGAGGCTTCGGCGTGCGTGATGACGTCACCTGACTGGATTCCCCGAGACATCGGCGTGCGTGATGACGTCACCAAACAATCCCCTGAGGCTTCGGTGTGCGTGATGACGTCACCAAACAATCCCCTGAGGCTTCGGCGTGCGTGATGACGTCACCAGTCTGTATTCCCTGAGGCGTCGGCGTGCGTGATGACGTCACCAAACAATCCCCTGAGGCTTCGGTGTGCGTGATGACGTCACCAAACAATCCCCTGAGGCTTCGGCGTGCGTGATGACGTCACCTGACTGGATTCCCTGAGGCGTCGGCGTGCGTGATGACGTCACCAAACGATCCCCCGAGGCTACGGCGTGCGTGATGACGTCACCAGAATGGATTCCCTGAGGCGTCGGCGTGCGTGATGACGTCACCAAACGATCCCCTGAGGCCTCGGCGTGCGTGATGACGTCACCAGAATGGATTCCCTGTGTCGTCGGCGTGCGTGATGACGTCACGCGTCTCCAATAGCAACGCGGTTTCAAACGGCAAAATGCCCGCCAACCGTCAGCTGTACTTTATTTCAACATTTAAGAGACAAATGAGGAGAATTTAAACGACCATGTCGCTCACGAGGAGCCCCAAACAAGTGAGTAACTCATTCGTCTACAACAATGACATCGTTTTAATATAACAACATCAATTTTAAAAAAAAGTTTAAATACCCCGAGAGGGCGCTGAGTCCGCACTGTCGCCGCTTGTGGTGCCTCGATTCCGGCGGGGAATCCAGGCGAGGTCGTTGATTTCGGCGCCTCGCGGCCGTTGTGGGACTAGGCCTCGATCGACCGCGTCTCACGTTGAGGAACTTTAGTAAGTCGATTTTAAAAAAAAAAGAGGATTTTAAACACGATCTTAGGTTATCATACGTTGTTTATTTACAGCAAGAAGCGTGCAAATAAGGCGTTAGGCTGTTTATTTGTTTGTATTATTTGATAGGCGTTCTGGAGCGGAACAGGTGTTTTGCAGTACAGATTGTTGATAATTATCAACAATTACCAGCTATCTATGAGGACGTAGGCTTTCGCGACCGATATTATCCGTAATAGATGTTTGTTTAGGGTTATGAGGACTTTGATTGTGCAACTAAATGATTGCAACAAATAAATTGTTGGTTAAAATATTCCCGAGACCCCCCCCCCCCCCCTGTGCCGCCGCGCCCCGCCGCTCAAGGTGCCTCGATCCCGGCAGGGAATCCAGGCGACGTCGGGGATCTCGGATACGGGGGGGAGGGTAACTAGGCCTGAGCCGCGCATTGACTTTTAATTAATCATCGCTTCGGACAATCAACAAAGGACGATGTCGCTCACGAGGAGGAGCTGCAAACGAGCGCATAGCCCCAAAGTTCACGAGACAAAATGTTTGGTTGAAATGTTCCCGAGTCCCAGGTCAGGCAGCGCGCCCGCCGCCCGAGGTGGCTCGATCCCCGGCGGGGAATCCAGGCGAGGATGGGGGGCTCGGCGAGTTTACTAGGCCTCAGGCTCTCGTGGTTCGCGGAAGTGGCTATCAGGGAGGTAGATTTGCATTGTGAGTACAGATCAGTTGATGTAATAGCAGTGGTGGTGGTGGTAGTAGTATGTATGGTGCTCAATTGCTACTATTGGGTGACTTTCACTACGGAGTGAGACTCACACAGACTCACTCACTCACCTACTCACCAACTCACACACTCACCAAGTCAAACACTCACACACCAACTCACACACTCACCAACTCACACACTCACCAACTCACACACTCACCAACTCACACACTCACCAACTCACACACTCATACACCAACTCACACACTCATACACTAACTCACTCACTCACACACTCACCAACTCACACACCAACTCACACACCAACTCATCCACTCACACACCAACTCACCCACTCACGCACCAACTCTCCCACTCACACACTCACCAAGTCAAACACTAACTCACCCACTCACACACCAACTCACCCACTCACACACCAACTCACCCACTCACACACCAACTCACCCACTCACACACCAACTCACCCACTCGCACACTCACCGACTCACACACTCACTCACCGACTCACACACTCACCCACCGACTCACCCACTCACACACTCATTCTCTCACTCACCACTCAATGATTAATTCACACACCCACTCACCGACTCACTGACCCACTCACACATTCATTCACTCACCCACTCAATCATCACTCACTCACCCACTCACTCATCCACTTGCCCACTCACTCACCCACTCACTCACCAACTCACACACTCACCGACCCACTCACTGACTCACTCATCCATTCACTCACCAACTCACACACTCACCGACCCACTCACTGACTCACTCATCCATTCACTCACCAACTCACACACTCACCGACCCACTCACTGACTCACTCACCCACTCACTCACCAACTCACACACTCACCGACCCACTCACTGACTCACTCATCCATTCACTCACCAACTCACACACTCACCGACCCACTCACTGACTCACTCACCCACTCACTCACCAACTCACACACTCACCGACCCACTCACTGACTCACTCACCCACTCACTCACCAACTCACACACTCACCGACCCACTCACTGACTCACTCATCCATTCACTCACCAACTCACACACTCACCGACCCACTCACTGACTCACTCACCCACTCACTCACCAACTCACACACTCACCGACCCACTCACTGACTCACTCATCCATTCACTCACCAACTCACACACTCACCGACCCACTCACTGACTCACTCATCCATTCACTCACCAACTCACACACTCACCGACCCACTCACTGACTCACTCATCCATTCACTCACCAACTCACACACTCACCGACCCACTCACTGACTCACTCACCCACTCACTCACCAACTCACACACTCACCGACCCACTCACTGACTCACTCATCCATTCACTCACCAACTCACACACTCACCGACCCACTCACTGACTCACTCACCCACTCACTCACCAACTCACACACTCACCGACCCACTCACTGACTCACTCACCCACTCACTCACCAACTCACACACTCACCGACCCACTCACTGACTCACTCATCCATTCACTCACCAACTCACACACTCACCGACCCACTCACTGACTCACTCACCCACTCACTCACCAACTCACACACTCACCGACCCACTCACTGACTCACTCATCCATTCACTCACCAACTCACACACTCACCGACCCACTCACTGACTCACTCACCCACTCACTCACCAACTCACACACTCACCGACCCACTCACTGACTCACTCATCCATTCACTCACCCACTCAATCATTCACTCACCCACTCACCCATTCACTCACCCCCTCACACATTCACCGACTCGCTCACCCACTCACTCCCCGTGTGTCTCCGTTGTCGCCACAGTGGCGATGTTATCCTTGCCTGGTATACACAGGAGGTCGTGGGTTCGATCCCAGTGATGATATCAATGTATGGGTCTCTGTGGGTCCCTATGAGTATGCGTCTCTGTGGGTCTGTATGAGTCTCTCTGAGTATGGGTCTCTGTGGGTTTGTATGGGTCTCTGTGGGTATCTATGAGTATGGGTCTCTGTGGGTCTCTATGAGTATGGGTCTCTGTGGGTCTCTGAGTATGGGTCTCTGGGTCTGTATGAGCCTCTATGAGTATGGGTCTCTATGCGTCCGAGTATGGGTCTCTGTGGGTCTGTAAGGGTCTCTATGAGTTTGGGTATCTGTGGGTCTCTGTGAGTATGGGTCTCTGTGGGTCTGTATGGGTCTCTATGAGTATGGGTCTCTATGCGTCCGAGTATGGGTCTCTATGCGTCCGAGTATGGGTCTCTGTGGGTCTGTAAGGGTCTCTATGAGTGTGGGTCTCTGTGGGTATCTATGAGTATGGGTCTCTGTGGGTCTCTATGAGTATGGGTCTCTGTGGGTCTCTGTGAGTATGGGTCTCTGTGGGTCTGTAAGGGTCTCTATGAGTATGGGTCTCTGTGGGTCTCTGAGTATGGGTCTCTATGAGTGTGGGTCTCTGAGTATGGGTCTCTGTAGGTCTCTGCGTATGGGTCTCTCTGGTTCTGTATGGGTCTCTGTGAGTATGGGTCTCTGTGTCTCTGAGTATGGGTATCTGTGAGTCTCTACGAGTCTATGAATCTCAATGCATTAAGAGTATTTGTCAACGTGATGATGATGATATCAGCCACGTGGCTGAGCTGCTGTCATTCGTGATGGTTCAGCTCACTCTGTCTGATACAATATCTACACAGCAGCTGAGTGAGTCTTACACCTGGTGACACAAACTTCGTTTAGTTGTAGTGCGGGTCTCTGTAAGTGGGTCTCTCTGGGTGTCTATGGGTCTCTGTGGGTCTATGTGGTTATCTATGGGTCTCTGTGGGTGTCTATGGGTCTTTGTGGGTCTCTGTGGGTGTCTATGGGTCTCTGTGGGTGTCTATGGGTCTCTGTGGGTGTCTATGGGTCTCTGTGGGTGTCTATGGGTCTCTGTGGGTCTCTGTGGGTGTCTATGGGTCTCTGTGGGTGTCTATGGGTCTCTGTGGGTGTCTATGGGTCTCTGTGGGTGTCTATGGGTGTCTGTGAGTATGGGTCTCTGTGAGTCTGTATGGGTCTCTGTGGGTCTCTGGGAGTATGGGTCTCTGTGGGTGTCTATGGGTCTCTGTGGGTGTCTATGGGTGTCTGTGAGTATGGGTCTCTGTGAGTCTGTATGGGTCTCTGTGGGTCTCTGTGGGTCTGTGTGGGTGTCTATGGGTCTCTGTGGGTCTGTATGGGTCTCTGTGGGTGTCTATGGGTCTCTGTGGGTGTCTATGGGTGTCTGTGAGTATGGGTCTCTGTGAGTCTGTATGGGTCTCTGTGGGTCTCTGTGGGTCTGTGTGGGTGTCTATGGGTCTCTGTGGGTCTGTATGGGTCTCTGTGGGTGTCTATGGGTCTCTGTGGGTGTCTATGGGTGTCTGTGAGTATGGGTCTCTGTGAGTCTGTATGGGTCTCTGTGGGTCTCTGTGGGTCTGTGTGGGTGTCTATGGGTCTCTGTGGGTCTGTATGGGTCTCTGTGGGTGTCTATGGGTCTCTGTGGGTGTCTATGGGTGTCTGTGAGTATGGGTCTCTGTGAGTCTGTATGGGTCTCTGTGGGTCTCTGGGAGTATGGGTCTCTGTGGGTGTCTATGGGTCTCTGTGGGTGTCTATGGGTGTCTGTGAGTATGGGTCTCTGTGAGTCTGTATGGGTCTCTGTGGGTCTCTGTGGGTCTGTGTGGGTGTCTATGGGTCTCTGTGGGTCTGTATGGGTCTCTGTGGGTGTCTATGGGTCTCTGTGGGTGTCTATGGGTCTCTGTGGGTGTCTATGGGTGTCTGTGAGTATGGGTCTCTGTGAGTCTGTATGGGTCTCTGTGGGTCTCTGTGGGTCTGTGTGGGTGTCTATGGGTCTCTGTGGGTCTGTATGGGTCTCTGTGGGTGTCTATGGGTCTCTGTGGGTGTCTATGGGTCTCTGTGGGTGTCTATGGGTGTCTGTGAGTATGGGTCTCTGTGAGTCTGTATGGGTCTCTGTGGGTCTCTGTGGGTCTGTGTGGGTGTCTATGGGTCTCTGTGGGTGTCTATGGGTCTCTGTGGGTGTCTA